CAAATTCTATTATCACATGTTCAGAGATGTTTTCCCTTCCAAGACTATCACAGGGAATGCTTCAATTGCTAACCCAACTTTCAAGTCTCAGATACCTTCTACAGAGTTCATCTCTGCCAGAGAAACCTTTTGGGATACAGAAAAGCCAAGAAAGATTGAACCTAAGACTAACGAAGAATATGGAAAGGATTTAGCAAAGACGTTAAGCCAGGAAATGTTTAAAAAAAAAAAAAAAGTAGGAAAGCAAGGTGAATGTAGAATGACAATTGGGAGAATGTGGAGAGATCAAGAGCTGAAAAAGTGAGAAAAGGAAGTACAAAAAGTCTCTGTGTCCTAGGAGGCATTGGAATAAAGAACTGGACTGCATATTTAAAAAAACAAACAAAAAACTCCCCCCAAAACATTCTTTTATTATTCCACAAACTTTTGTCAGCCCTCCTATGTGTGTATATGTGTAGAAAGTCTTATCTTTATTTTTAAGTGTATCAAAGAGTGTCATACTATATATATAATTATTCTTATCACTTCCCAACCCCTTAAAATTTTTTTGTTGATTTTTTCATTGTTAGCGCATTATGAGCTATGTCATTTTTTTAAACGGATGCCTGTCATCAAGAACCTTGCAAATATGCCCTAATTTATTGAATTCCTTACCTGTTAATGGGCCCTTGGATTGTTTCCATACTTTTGTAATTATGAACAATGCTATAATGCAAATTCTTTCATAGATACAGTTTTGTGAACTGTAAATACTATGTATTCAAGGATAAACTCATAGAGGTGATTATGTTGAAATCAAAGAGTATCACAATGTCAACTTTGATAGATATTGCCAAATTGCCTTCCAGAAAGTTGCCATATGGAATTTAAAATGTTTACATAGTCCCTTTGAACAATTTCTTCTTTTATAGGTTTTGAGATATATGTGTTAATTAGAAAGGGCCTGTCTACTGCAAACTTATTTTAAATTCTTCCATCTTTAATTTGGAATGTTTACATTTAATATTTGATCACTGTGTAATCAACTTTGGTTTTAAAGGAGAGAGAAAGCTCTAGTTTTATTTTTTCCCAATTGACTACCCATTTCCATCAACACATCAACTTTATGATCCACTTGAAATGTCTCCTTCAACATATATTATTGAATACATAGGTATTTAGGAGTGGTGGCTCCATATGATAAGCACTGGACTGTGAGCCACAAGGTCCACGGTTCGAGCCCTCTAGCCGCTCCACTCTGCAGGTGAAAGATGAGATTTTCTGTTCCCATGAAGATTTAAAGCCTTGGAAACCCTATACAAGGTCACTATGAGTTGGAACCAATTCAGCGGCACTTAACAACAAAGATGTATTTGGTCTATATATGGATACTCCAACTGTTTAATTGATCTGTCATGTCATGTCCCAATATGCAACTGTTTATATCATTATAGCTTTTTGTGGGCTGGAAAATCATTTGTGCTCCATATTCCCTACAGACATAACTGAATTTCCTATTATCAAATACTTATTTTTTATATAAAGATGAGAATCATTTTATCAAGTTCCAAAAAAAAATTGGGAAATTGCACTGAAACTAAATATTAACGTAGGGAAAGATTACACAATTCATTGTTGTTGTTGCTGTTGGGAGCCATCATGTTGGTTCCAACTTATAATGAAGAAACAAGAGAATGAAACACTGCCCAGTCCTATGCCATTCTTTTAATTGTTGTTGAGCTTGAGCCCATTGTTGCTGCCAATGTATCAATCCATCTTGTTGAGGGTCTTCCTCTTTTTCATTGACCCTCAACTTTAGCAAGCATGATGTCCTTTTTCAGGTACTGGTTCCTCCTGAAAACACGTCTCAAGTCTGAGAGAGGAAGTCTCACCATCCTTGCTTCTAAGAAGCATCTGGCTGCAGTTTTTCCAATATAGATTTGTTTGTTCTTTTGGTAGTCCATGACACTTTTAATATTCTTCTCCAACACCATAATTCATATGCATTGATTCTTCTCGTCTTCCTTATTTGTTGTCCGATTTTCACATGCATACGAAGCATTGAAAATACCATGGCTTGCATCAGGTGCAACTAAGTCCTCAAACTGTTATCTTTATTCTTGAACATTTTAAAGAGGTCTTGTACAGCAGATTTGCCTAATGCAATACATTGATTTCTTGACTGCTGCTTCCATGAATGTTGACTGTGGATCCAAGAAACATGAAGTCCTTGACAACTTCAATCCTGTCACCGTTTATCATGTTATTTTTGGTTGAGTTGTGAGGATTTTTGTTTTTTTACACTGAAGTACAATCCATACTGAAGGCTGCAGTCTTCGATCTTCATCAGTTATTTTACGTCCTTTTCATTTTCAGCAAGCAAGGTTGTATTATCCTCATATCATGGATTGCTAATGGCTTCTCTTCCAATCCTGATGCCTTGTTCTTCATATAGATCAACTTCTCATCTTATTTGCTCAGCACACAGATTTAAGTATGGTGAAAGTATCCAACCCTGGCACACACCTTTTCTAATTTTGAACCACTCAGTAGTCCCTTGTCCTGTGCAAACAACTGCCTCTTGGTCTAAGTACAGGTTCCTATTGAGCACAATTAAATATTCTGGTATACCCATTCTTTGTAATGTTATCTATAGTTTGTTATGATCCACACAACTGAATACTTTTGCATAGTCAATGAAACACAGGTAAATATCTTTCTGGTATTCTCTGCTTTCAACCATGATCTATCTGACATCAGCAATGATATCATTTGTTGCATGTCCTCTTCTAAATCTGGCCTGAATTACTGGCAGTCCCCTATCGATGAACTGCTGCAAATGCTTTTAAATTATCTTTCACAAACTTCTACTTATGTGTGCTATTAAATTACATTGATACCAGCTAATGTCTTCATTGCCATTGGAAGAAAATTGCTAAATGGAAAGCTGATATAAAAAATTCAATTATATGAAGTTAACCTAAGTAAAAAAATTAAACAAGTGTATAAAAATGTGTAAGGAGCTCTGGTAGCATAGTGGTTATGAATCGGGCTGTGAACTGCAAGGTCAGCAGTTCGAAACTACCAGCTGCTCCGCGGGAGAAAGATGAGGCTTTCTGCTCCTGTCAAGATGTACACCCTTGGAAACCCTGTACAGTGTCACTGTGGGTCGGAACTGACTCGATGGCACTCAACAACAACAATATAAAAATGTGTAAGAATGTTCACTCCATTATTGTTTAGAAGAATAAAAAGAAAACAAACTAAAAAATCAGTAGTGGCTTAAATATTCAACAGTAGGAGGCTTAAATGTCACAGTAGAATTTTATAAGGCTACTGAAAACTATGTATATTGACAATGATGTCTATGATACATGGTTACCTGAAAAATGTAGATTGTACAACAATAATATGATCTTATTTTTCATTCTTATATGATAATATATTTATGAGAAGGTCAGGAAGATAATTCAAACAATTAACAGATGACTACATATGGGTACAGGGAAGTAGAGAAGGACTTTCATTTTCTGTTGTAT